CATAGACGTTGCCATAAGTTAAAACTATTGCCATAATATAAGAAAAAACCATAGACATTAAAATATTACTTTAATGGTGCGTTCCACTAAGCGCTCACGACCGCTGATTTCCCCATTCCACTTGATTGTGAATGTTACTGTCGTTAACTCAAGTGGAATGGATTATGGAGCGTTTCGGGCGTTCATGTAAATATTACAAATGTCAAGTTTGAAAATAGTAGAATTTTAAGGAGGTTAGGTAATCATAAACAATAAGTTTTGATATTTGTGACTTAAATTTATTTATGTTAAAAGTGAAGAATAATTGAATATTTTATAAATAATTTTGGTGAAGTTATCAAACAACTTAAGTTTAAATATAATCGAAATGGCTTTACAATTTCTCTTTCTGAATCAAATAATGTGTTTTTTCTTGTCGCCATCTTTAAGCTTTGAATATAATAATATTATTATTTGTCATATTTCAAAAAATGCGCCAAATTATTCTCAACGTTCACAACGACCCACCTCTTTAGATGGGTCGTTGTGAGCGTTGCGTGAGCATTTGTCATGACGTCATGAGTGACGTTTTCGCCGTGACCACAACGACCGCGGTCGGTATGTGGAATGGCTAAAGGAGCATTTTGATCGTCGTGAGCGCTTAGTGGAACGCACCAATAGTGGTGTTTAACAAAAAAAAATTGGTGGGTTCAGTGGTTAGATCAATCATTGCATTGTATTTTTCGCAGATTAAACTCCAAAATTTCCATAGAACGTATACTGAACAAAATCTTTTAGCCAACACAACTTCGCTTTGGCACTAAAAGCGGCTGTGAGCCGCTATACACGCTTTGCGCACTCTTTTTACTAACGAAAAATTTGATGTGTTGTCGAAAGTTGACGTCAAAAATGCATTAAATTCAGTTAGGACAACACTCCTGTTAATCACCATCATAATTAACAACCAAAAGTTCCGAACTCTCTTCAGAAGTTGTTTGTCAACGAGGAGATCCTCTTGCTTACCGGCTATTTCTAGTCTCGCTATAACTTCTTGTAAACAAAATCTAAATTCAAATCGGGTATTTGGATGATGGTAGTCTAGAGATAAAGCAGATGTTGTACTTTCAGATCTTTCTATCTTTAAATTAAGTTAAATGTGAGATATGAGAATTTGGACACCGAAGGAATAATGCTGCTCTGAGGGGCACCTTAAGAAGAAGTTCTTCAAAGAAGTTTGTGAAGAATACATTATTTCATCAAAATCAAAGTTTAATAATCATCTGTTCACAAATGTAGCAGTCTGGTAGGGATGAGAGAAAAGCGTCATTAGCATCCGGCCCAGGCTTAAGTTTCCCTTCTAACGTTACTTTCAAAGGAGCTGGGATGATCTTTTTTTTTGTAAATCTGAATTCCAAAGCTTATTTGTTCACACCTTAGGTCGTAACAGACTGCGCAATGTTGGTAGCAGTGGGGTCTAGGGAAGCCGGGAATTAGCCGGTTTAGTGCTTATCCTTCGCTAAACACTTGTACTCTTTTGAACACTGTATCGCAATATTTAAGTCTTGGGCACCATGGCCTCCATTGCCAAAAGGGTGTAGGTTGTTTTTCTCAGCACCCCGCGCTTAACGACATTATACGCCGCCCTCTTACCTCTGTCAATATCCAGCCATGTCTTTGATCGTTTTGAGGACGAGACGGGCTATACTTGTATGGACACGATACTCTCACCTCCCTTGGATAAGCACAAAAGCTGGTGTGGCCGCAGAGCAGGCGGGAAAAAATATAAGAGCCTCTCCGCCAACTTTGATTTTGGTCCCTTTGTAGTAGAGACTCTTGGGCCGTGGGGTTCGAGTGCACAGGCGCTAATTAAAAATTTATGTTCGCGCTTGGCAAATAGTACCGTACCGGTGACCCCGGAGGTGGTGCTATTCTCATCGAATAATAGTATCGCAATACAGCGTGGAAATGCTGCTAGCATTAAAGGTATAATGCCACAGGGACCAAACTTTTTAAATTTATTTAGTTTTCTATTTATCCATTTGTTATTACTTTATAGGATAAGAATATTGAAAATACTCTAAATAAAAATTAACATTGTTAAATACCTAATAGAAAAAAATATGGGTCCAATTAAATTTATGCCCCATATTCATTGGTCTTACGGAAATAGTACTAAGATTATCGTACAGGATCCACTTTTCATCACAGGTTGATTCCGTTTAAGATCCCTTCATAATTGTGCCGGTTGAGTAATGAGAATTGAGCAATTCGACAAACGCAGCAGTTGCGCGCGTTTGTCGAATTGCTTCACTGAATTCATGAGATACCCACCTTTCACCTTCCCAATCACTAACACCGCAGCCTGCAGTTAACTCAGAGCGTAGTTTGCGATAGATCCGCTTCCCCCATAGCCTTCAATTCTCGTTATCTACTTTGGTATCCGGCCGTCCACGAGGGAGTGTCGCAAAGAAAAAAAAGTGCGTGCGTACAAAGTACACAATATGTCAGAAGTGAAACTTCTTTGGCAAACTAATTTTTAAGTCTTTTTCATACAGTGTAAACTCTATATAACGACACTCAAGGGACTGTGCTTACTTGACGTTACAAAGACTTTAAATGGAAAGAAGAATTATCTGTACTATTAGAAAAAGTTTATTCCAGTTTTATTTTATTTTATAAAATAAAATAAAATAATTACATAAAATACAATTCTTATTTGAAAGCTATTGCATATAGACTGTTATTTTCGTCTGACATCTTTTGCTGCACCAGCAATTATTTTGTATTTTTTTACTTTTTTATTCATTTTGCGATATTGAGGCATCTTCGTGCAAGCAATAACAATTTGTAAACCATAGATCGGATTTCTTAAAATGTTTGGTACGTATGATGAAGATGGTCGAGTTTATCACGGGCTAGGACAATGAAGCGATAGAAGAACGTAAATAAACAGCTCCGGAGTTTTAACTAATTTCGGTAACTTAAAAAGTACTTTTTATTATTTAATTGTCTTGGTATTGAGGGTGGGTGTAATGCTATGTAGAGTGTATCATTGTATGGAAGACAAACTAAACCAACCAAAGCTGATTGATTTTGACGCTTTAGGGGATTTGTTGTTAAATCGGGGCACGTTATATGGAGTTTACACTGTATTTATACAAATCTAAAAAATGCGGGACTCAGAGGGAGGGAAAAGGAAGATAATTATGTTAGGAATTTAATTAATTTAGTTGTCATTTAAATATTATAAGTGTCGAAAATTAATACAAATAATAAATTTATTTCGTCGATAATAAAAAAAAAAACACATTTCAATAAATTATTTAGCATAAACTATAAAATACTACTAGTACCTATTGAAATATTATTAAATTCTATACTTAAATTCTCTTTATAGTAGGGGTGCCCACAGTGCTAAATTGGGATTTACTCGAGCGTCATAGAGACCTATTGGGTTGCGAAGCTTAGATAATTATAAGAAAAAAATGTTATATAATGTACTTATACCTTTTCATCGGTGGGGGGAGCAGCTGTGCTATGGACTCAAGCGCGTCATATATTGATAGCATCCATGTCCTACATATTTTAAATAATGTACGTATGTTAATCCGATTGTTTGCATGCTGGGGGTAGTCGGACGTAAGGGTTGAAAATGAAAATAAAAAATATCGAGCGCGTCAGATTTTCTAAGGTGATTTTTTAAGTGAACCTAAAAAAAACTCTCTAATCTAATAATCTGACGATTTGGATGTGACGGAAACTCGTAGTCATTAAAAGAATGTGCATATCAAAATGGCGAATTTTTTGCACTCAAGCGCGTCTGACTAAGATATACATATATGGTTCATCTTTATGTCCTAGACGTGATGTCTCATAATCTGACTATTCGCCTAATCTAATAATTAAAAAAAACAATTTTAATCAATGAACTTAATTGATTGATAAGCTCTGAAAATAGCAAAAAGTGTATGTTGTTCAAGTAGAACTTGTATTTATTATTTAATAAAAATAAATGCTTAAATTAAATAAAAAATAACCGGTTTACTTCGACCATATTCTAAAATATTTATACATTTTTCTAATGTAATTTTTTTTTATTTTTGCAAAGTAGTTTCACCACAAAATACACTATGTTAATATTTTTAAACTAATATAGGCATCATGCAGCTGCACGTATTAAACTTTATCGACGATATCGAGTTTTTCTGACTTCGGCTTATGGAATTCGTCAGATTATATATTTTTCGTCATCCTTGAATTATTTCCTTCAAAATAAAACCAGCCACGCTCGAGAATGTGGAGATAACGTTTTTTTTGCAGCCCTCTCCTTTCGGTAAGACTTTTTTTTTTAGGTACTTACGTTACTAGCAAATTGTAAGATTAGTGAAATATACACACTTCTTAGTATGTAATTAATTCAACCTACCTTAATCTGACGCGCTCGAGAAAGTCTGATGTCAATTTTTTTACTAATCTGATCTTTTATCCTTGAATGGCGGCCATATATATGGGGCTCATATTTGGTAGCGGTATTTAACCGGGTACAAGGTATCTCCCTGTATATTAATCTGTCACGCTGTAGTAAATCCCGAAATCCCCTCTTGGGCTCCCCTACTATTAAGAAATTTTAATTTAAAAATAGAATTTCTAAAAGGTATTTCACCCTTCTCTTTTTCTCTCAATCGGTCTCAATCGCTCTGTCCCTTTTCTTCCACAAAAACACTGCACATCTTCGTGACGTAGCCGTAAAAAATTTACCCTCATGCGCCTAAAGAAGTTTCACTTCAAAAATCAAAACGGGAAAATGAAATGAATGACGGAATTCCTTACCAAAGAGGAGATATTTGTGGTCAAAGTGCCAAGTACGACAAAACGCCAATTTCATATGTAAGGACCTAATATTTATTTAATTCTCAAAGTATGTTTCTAATAATGATAAATACGGAATTAACTTCAAATAACATATTGTTTAATTCAAAATACATAATTAGCTTATTCCCGAGATATGTGCGATTAGTGCACTAGGTGTCTGCGGGGCCAGGGGTCGGGCCAGGGGTCGGGCCTTTGTCGCCCTCCTCGTCGTCTTCCGAGCTCTCGTCCTCGTCCTCATCCTCATCGTCGTCGTCGTCGTCCTCATCCGACCCATCCTCATCTGAATAAGTGTAATCTCGGCTTTCATCAAATGCAGCTGAAATTTGACAAAGGTTTTAAACTGATTAGTATTTTCTATAATGTACAACAACATTCAAAAGAAAGATTTGTCACCCGAGTGAGAGTACGAAGAGTAGTCGTCGTCGTCGGCGGCGGCCGCGCCTTGCCGCCCGTATCGGTGGGAGCGAGTGGAGAGGGCGAGGTCCGAAGTGAGGTGCAGAGCGTAGGAGCAGCGCGGACAGGGCGGCGCTCCTCTCGACGGCTTGGTGCCGCGGCGACGCACGTGCTCGTCGCAGAAACAGGTCTTGCATCGCATGCACGAGTACTGCCCCAGGCGGTTGCACGACTGACCTGGAGGGGACGTCGTGCGAGGTTACGAGGATCGCTTGACTTTTAATATTCTACCGTGTGTGAGTGCAATACTTACATTTGTACGTTTCAGACTCGAGCACCTGACAAGAGGCCTGATGTTCAAACTGGTCATCTTCACAGAGGAAACCTTGACAGAAGCAACATCTGAAGACTCGTCCTCCGTGTTCCCACACTCCTGGAATAAATCACGTTATAGTTGACTTGAACAAAATTAAAATTCCCAATAGCAGTCACGGAAGGATAATATACCTCTTTCACATTCCAGACAGACCGCATCTTGAAGAGGGCAGGTGCAGGCGTGTGACTGCAGGCACTTTCGCCCGTGACACACCCAAGCCTCACAGAAGTCACAGATTGCACCCTTTTTATATCAAATAAAAAAAAAACAGGTCGAATAAAATGATTGTCAAAGGATCAGGGACTAGTCCACTCTATCCACAATTCCTGTATGTAGGATGGGATGGATGGATAGAACCTAGAAACCTGGCACAGAAAAAAAACATTACTATTACTACACACAAACAAATTATAATCTTTATCATTATGTAGATAAACACATTAGCCGCTTAATAAGCTGATGCGCGCGTATATGCGGATTTGTAGAAATTATCCAACCTGTATCTAAAAGTGTTCAAAGATCTGGAGGCGTATTCCAGTCAGCCACTACACTGTTTGGAAGAAAGTTCTTTAGGCAATTTGTATTATGTTGAGTGGTCTTCACTTTTAAAGAACTACCCATCAAATGTGTGATCTCACTTAAAATAAAGAGCTTCTCAATTCCTTGAACATTATAGTGGCCAGTAAGGATTTTATAGGTTTCAATTAATCTAAATCAGTAAGATCAAGTGCTTTCAGACACTCATTATAAGGTTTGTTAATGAGTGCTCTGACCATTTTCATAGCTTTTCTTTCATGCAAATTAATATCTTTTATAAAATAAGGATCACAAATGCTGTAGGATTAATTAAAGAGGTCTTATGTAACATTTATACATCTTTGATTGTTCTTGATATGAGACATTTGAATGTTTTCTCACTAAGTAGAGCATGGAATTTGCCTTTTTTACAATATTAATAAAGCCACTGCTCCAATCAAAAATATCATGTAAGCCACTCTGTATTGCTTGAGACTAAACAATTTAAAATACCTTACCAGAAAGGTATTTATGGAGTTACTTAAAATGTACACCTAGTTAGATATCTGATCCTTTTTGAACTGTTGGGGTATGTTGTTAAACCTTTTTTAACATTGGTTACCACACTCCTCTAAAAAGATTTGTATCTGTTATGAACAATGCTTTGAGGACAAGCGAGGATGATCATTTTTGTGATAACATCCATGTATTCAAACGTAAGATGGTTTTGAAGCCACTTTTCAAGCGGGAAAGGATCCAGTTAAGTGTGTTTTGCTAATAAGAAGTAAAAATTAAATAATTAAGACAGAATACCAGCAGGACCTTTACTAGGATCAAATGATATTTTTAACTTGATATATCCTTACTTGGATGACACCGAGGCAATATAGGAAGTTTGTAGTCAAGTCAGATTTATAGACACTATGAAAATAATCAGTATTTAACTGGGAGATTTCCATTGCAAAGACACTTCAACTTTATGATAGTTGGGAAAGACATTTATGCTTTGTATTTATTCATCAGATAGCATCAAAAGAATTTGCTTTTATTCTACCTTAATGCTGCACATTATCACACAAACATAATTCATTTATAGATTTAGAGATAGATAGTATTAATTAGAAAATTTCTAGAATAATCTCTTCCAACCAATGTATTACTAACCACCATTCCCAATCCGGTAGTGTATACACCGGGGTGCCGGACCACACAGTCACCAGACTTCAGCATGCATTTCACCTTGCCGCACTGCGCACAAACTGGTAGGCGCTGTAGGGCCGAACAAAAGTAGCAGAACGCCCGACTCTTCTGCTTCCTTCGCAAAATAAAATATTATTATTTAAAAAAAATCGTTTTAATGAAAAATAACAATTATACTTACTTTTGGCACTTATCACAATCCATTGGAAGGTTACATGGGTGTTGTGCTAAGTCAATATGCCCTCTTGCATTGCGAATTTCTTTCTGCCGAAGTTTTTGCTTTTCTGCCTTCTTGCGTTGCCCCGTCTTTTTCTTCGGCATATTTATAACCTCTATTAATGTTGGACTATATCAATCAGGACAATAGAAGTTAGAATCCAGCTTGCCAGTTGCCAGTCAATTTCGAAATTCAATTACAATTTACAAACTACAAAAAACAATCACTGACTGATGATGATGATATTAATTTATCCCTAATGGGGATTGGGGTAGGCAAAGGACTTTAGTCCATACAGCCAGGTCTTGTTCTTGATAATAATTGGAGAATTTTCCAATCACTGACTGATCAAGTTGAAGTAAAATCACTCAAACAAATAAAGAATAAACCATTATAGAATATAGAATACGTATGACCCTAAATAGACAATAACATTATATTACATAAACGGCGTAAATTTGACAATCATGACAGAAAAAGTGAAGACTATAAAATCTTTAAAAAATTTATACGGATATGAAAAAATATTTTTGAAAGAACGCGCTTCATCTCAATTCATGAATGACACCTTATTATTTAATTGTGCCTCCGCTATAGTTCGTCTAAATTTCCATTATTTTTTTATGTAATAGGAGGCAAACGGGCAGGAGGCTCATCTGATGTAAAGTGATACCGCCGCCCATGGATACTCACATTGCCAGAAGGCTGAAAAGTGCCTTAAGAAACGCTCAAACGTGGAACGACGGACGTCGAGGTGATACAACTCAGTCCGATGATGAAACTAAGCTGCAGGTATTACACATTAGTTCGAACAATTCCTCTGAACACTCTCCATGGTAAATGCGGTAAAAGATGCAGAGAGATCCCACATCTCTACGCAACGCCAAGGGGTCAAGCAGCTCGGAAAGTGACTGGTCGTCGCTCGATTCGAATCGCTCTTCGTTGAATACGGTGAGAACAGTACTACTACTCCATGTGGGGCCGAATTAGCGCTTAACAATGAATGTTTCTAAGTTGCAACATATAATTGTAATGAATGAATAAACTGGGTCGGGGATAGGACACAGGCATGTGGGGCCCAGCCATGGTTTAAGGTCGAAACACGCTCCGTCGATGACGACCTTGATGCTCCGATCAGCGAGAAAGCTAGAAATGCAGTTGCATAATTTCTCGGGGAGCTTATGAGCCTATGGGCTGGAAGCTTCGAGAGCAGTTCTCTGTGCCACACCCGAAGGTTTTCGCTATGTCCAAACTTACCTCATTCACCTCCCACTTGGACTCAATTGCCTCTGCCCACCTATGTGTAAGGTAAACAAGGAGGTCACCATCTGAGCGACCACAGCGAAAGCCGTACTGATAATCGCTAATCAGCTGGTAGCCCTCTAGATAGGAGGATAACCTCAGGAGGTTAGTAATGGTTTCCATTATTTTGGAGAACAAAGAGGTTATAGCTGGACGATAGGGACGATAGTTGGACTGATCAGAGCGATTGCCTTTTTTAGGGATCGGATGTATTGAAGCGGTCTTCCAGCACTGAGCCGGAAGCCGGAAGCCTGAGCCGAGCGAGAACAGGTACCGGAAAAGGCGCGTTAAGACCGGAGCCAACTCAGGAGCACAAGTACTACTGATGGGGGGATGCCATCAGGCCCGCTCGGCGATAGTGCTTTGCGGACCGTTTCCGGCTATGTAGAATCACATCGTGAAATGGTCGGTGGTGGACCTCCCTTGGTCATCCAGAGTCGAGTTGAACGCGAAGAGACAGCCAAAAAGGTCGGCTTTCTCCGTCGCGGTGTGGGACAGCGAGTCATCCCTCCCTGTGCAGTGGTGGAATGGAGGGCCGACAGAAATTCCCTTGGACAGCTTTGGCAAGAAAGAACCAGAAGGCTCGAGTCCCCGAAGGGAGGTGGGCCAATTTCTCGCTAAATCTGGCAATGTGCTCTGATTTTGCTTTAGCGATTTCCTGTTTGGAGGACCTGGAGGCTGGTCGTATGCTTTTTTACACGTTCGCTGATAGTCGCATCACAGGTGTGTTTAATAAAATACATATGTAAGTATGTCTACTAAATTCAGAGCTGAGTGTTAGCGGATTTATTCAGTACTGCTATTGTACAGCTTTGTATTGACCAATTAATTATCTGATTATTTTATATGTATAAACATCCTTGTCATACTTATAATTAAATATGTTCCATTCTTGAGTTTCTGAACGTTAGATACACAGTTTTTATCCGTACAAATTGAAAAGCCACCTTTAACAATACGTTCAACGATAGTACTACGTAACTTAGTACGATAAATTGTGCGCATTTAACTCGGTCCCTAAATATTTTCGAATTGCTTTGTCGGGGAGGACCGAGAAACGAATCTAATTGAATGCTTCCAGTTCTAACTTCTACTTCACTCATCATTGCTATTTATGATAGTACTTATGTGAAACAAGTATTGCGTGTTTATTACTTTTATTACGCATTCGTTTTTGTTTGTTTACGTTGTTTATGGACAAAGAAAATACTGTTGTCATAATAAAGAAATGGTAACTCCTTCTGATTTGGTAAGGTTTCTTATATTACGTTACTGTGTATGTATTTGTAAATTTTGACATTTATATTAAAAATAATTTGTTAGCTAATTATATAAATTACAATGGGGTAGCATCTTAAACTATTAAGTTATTATATTAAATTAACTATTAAGATATAAGTATAAAATGGCAAAATAATAGTAAATTAAATTTATCAACTAGAAGTATAATAATTCATTATAAAGAGTATAGTGCTATATTATGAATATGTTACAGTGTTTTATGAATAATAAGGTTGCTCGATAGACGAAAAATATGGCACAGAGCGCCCCACGCTCTTTCACAATAATACCAGTATTTTTTGTTCATTACCATTTTCAGTCTAAATTAGGAATTATTTTTCACTTTTTAGTTTGATGTGCTTTAAAAGCGTGTGTTCTAGTTTTTTTAAACTATTATTTATTTTTTAGTTATTTTTTTTATATTTTTTCTTTCGGATTATTGCATTGTCATCGATCTTTGACAGGTGCGCAAAGTTTGAATTAAATCTGTCCGTTAAAAGTGGGTCAAAATCGAGCCCGAAGGAGTCGGTTACATACATACAGGTGAAGCTAATATACCTAAAGCGTGTAAAAATCGATTCAGATGAAGCGCGTGGGCGAGAGCGGAAAGCTGGTGCCGTTCTTCAAAGCTGTAGGTGTTTATTTCACCGTGGGTTGCGCCGCACCGTCGGCGTCCGCGGCGGCGCTGAAGTGCGCGCCCGTGATGTGCCTGCTAGCGTGCGTGGCGACGACGCGGCGCGGGGCGCACGGGAGGCGGGTGGCGGCCGGGCTGGCGCTGTCGGCGGCCGGCGACGCGCTGCTCGTGTGGCCGCATCTGTTCGTGGCCGGAATGGCGGCGTTCGCGGCCGCCCACCTCGCCTACATATCCGCTTTCGGGCTGCGCCCGCTGCGTGCGCGCGGCGCCCTTTTGGCCTACGCCGCCACGGCGTTATACCTGCGCGCACTGGCACCGCCGCCGCCTCTGCGCGCTCTCGTCCCGGCCTACGCGGCGCTCCTGGCCACGATGGCGTGGCGTGGCGCGGCCACTCCGGGCCCACAGCGCTACGGTGCGCTGCTGTTCCTCCTCTCCGACGCCATCCTCGGGTACGGCCTGTTCGGCGGGTCGGTGCCCTACGAGAAGGTCCGTTAATTCCGTTTCTCTGCGCCGACGCTTCGCTTTCCTTTCGCTGATTATATTTTGTAAATATCGTTCCGCAGGTGCTGGTGATGACGAGCTACTACTCGGGGCAACTGGGCATCGCCCTGAGCGCTCTGCGGCGGCCTCCCGGCGCACGGCACTAGGAATTAATTCTCGATATTATCAAGGAGACGCAAGCGTTTTATTTAAGTATTAAGATAGTTAAACGAAGCCAAACTTACGCCAATGAAGGTCGACCATCTTCTGGTAATTGTTATATTGTTATTTCAGACCAATCGAGGTGTTCGGTATCGTTAGTGAATAAGACTGAAAGCGATAGTCTATATATCGTACAATCTATACAGAGTATTATATTTTGTAAATATCGTTATATAAATTGTTTACATTCCAATTTTAAAAATGATTTGGCCTAAAATCTATTCTATCAATGTACTTATATATTATAATGTTATATACTCGGTAAGAACATACAAATAGAAATCAGGAAAACGCAAATCGAGCGCAGTTATACATATCTATTGTGATTGCTTACATGTGACAAAGGATAAAATATATTATAAGAGTAGAGCGATTAGTCTTTGACGTGTTAAGGTGGGTACTGACCAACGTTACGAGGTGTAATGTAACACATTACACAGCGAGCATTCGTGCAGTCAGTACGTCGTGTAACCAGCGAGCAACGAGTCGCTCGTTGGCCGTTGCTCGCTTTGAGTGCTCCACCCGGCTGTCGGTTTTACGACGAATCCTTTGACTGCTACGCGGTTCAGTCAGTACACGTCGCACGTCGCAAGTGATCATGATTATGATTTTCTATAAATAGTGTCTTTTTTAAGTACTTTTGGTCCAATTAAATTCACGAGTTGTTCAAAATCGATCGGAGACATGCGTACAAAGTTTTTATACTGTCCAGTAATCATTTGGTTTTTTAAAATTGCTATCAATGACAAACCACTACATACGCCTCTGTTTTTAAATAAGTTTGATGTCCAGTAACGTTTTTTCTTCTTAATTTGGATGAAACAATAATTAAGTAGAATCAAAGATACCAACGCGTCCTGGCTGTCGGCCATCTCGTGAACACTGGCGACGAAAGCGGAGCACAGAGTTTTGACGAGCATGTTACGCCGATTTTAAAACACAGCGTAACACGCTCGGTGCGAATGCTACATTACACCTCGTAACTTTGGTCAGTTCCCACCTTTAGGTTGAATTATTTAGTACCTAAGTGTTACAATCTTCCATATTTTTAGTTGTTTATCAATAAACCATATCCACGAACGCTTCTATTATTCCATACATTGTAAAGAAAATGGTGATTTGTAATAAAACACGCAATTTAAAATAACTATATAATATATTATATTTACAAACTTAACAAATTGTAAGTCGCGATGACAAGCGACGATTGTTAGTTCCCTGCCGTGTGGGGGTGGGGGGAGGGGGGTTCTGGAGGCCTTCTTCCGATTTGAAGTGACGCCTCGCCCAAGGCTCTGCCATAGGCGCTAAGTACTTATGGAAAAACATTTCCTTCCTTTTCTCTTCTGTCATAAATAAAAGGTTAGGTACAAGATTTGTATTTTTAAAGGCTACACTGACCGTCGTGTCGGCGAGCCGAAAGTTTTTATTTTGGATCGAAAAATGTTAGGTTAAAATATAAAGCAGAGCAGAGGGGTTGTGTTAAAATAAAGTTTCTTCTCACGTAGTGACGTCACTCGCGGCGAAGGTTGTCGAGGCGCGCCTGAAGCTCGGCGTCGGCGTCGCTCAGACCTCCGCCCGCCGCTCCGCCGCCCGCTGCAGCCGCCGCCGTCGGGCTCGCCGGCGTTTTCGCTGTAGCACCGTAGTCGTGTCATTCGTTTACAATTTTAAAGGGCGATATTGGCGCATGACTTACCGGTCACAGAGAGGGAGCCGGTCGCCTGCGGAAGGCCAGAAAGCTGGTCGTTGAGCTGGAGCCCGAGTTCGTCCAGGATCTGCGACACTACTGCATCGCTGTAATATTTGCCGAACTCATTTTAATGCAAGCACACTATTACAAACAAATGTATGTACTGGTAAAATCAAGTTGGTGGACTAATTGGTGGTTTATTTAACAAATTCCTATTTAGACTTTGTACAAGGACTTTGACATTCTGATCAAAAATATTCTTCTTTTTCTTCTGGTGACACTTTATTGCTTAAGGTTGGCTGTTAACAACTTGAATTGCCAGGTACCTTGTGCTAGTCAAAAAGTTCAATCAAAAATCAAAATCAAAATACATTTATTCAATTTAGATGCGTCTTAGGGCATGCTTATGAATGTCAAAAACGTTTACAAAATTCGCGAAAGAGCAAGACTACGCCATCCGTTCGCAAAACTACCAGGAGGCCTTGTTCTAAAAGAACAGGCAAGAAACTCAGCAAGTTTTACCCTCAGTTCCTTGGCGCATGTGATCCCCTGTCCACTCAAGTACATTCTGCAACCACAACTTTCACCTTCTTGATCAAAAATAAATCATATAAATATGCCTTCACCTTTCCTCTTCATCATCGTCACCCTCCATGGCCTCATCGATGGAGTCATTCATCATCTCTTCCTTCATATCCATTATCTCAGACTGCTTCTCAAACTCCTGTAACATTGTGACACATACATATGGTAAATATTACCAACAAATAATGAGGAATGTTGTGTAATGTTCTGTAGCCCATCAAGGGGTTAGGTTAGACACACAACAAAGAGGGCTAACAATCTAGTATAAAAAAACTATTTATTGAGTAAATAGATTTTAGACAGTTTTGTCAAAACCTGTTTAAAATTAATCTGTGATGAAATCAGATTGATTTTCAGAATGATATGTACTTATAAAATTATGCTTAACTAAATAAAATGTATCCTAGTTCGAGTTCATCTTAGTCTATCTGAATACCTGAAGAATTCTCTGTATTTGTGGCACATTTAGTTGTCTGTTCATTGTTGCCATGGCCCGGGTGACACCACGCATTGCTTGAGCCATACTGCTCTGAGACTTTAGTGTCTGTATCTTAAGAGAAACAGCCTGGATATTTGCCTTCATTATCATGAACTTGCGAACATAGCGCCGTGTGCGGACAAGATCTTTTGCCATTATCTTAACAGCATCCTAAAAAAACAATAAATTCAATTAGTCTCAATCTCAATTAAAGATAGTAATGTATTCCCATTTTGTTAGGGAAGCTTACACCTTATTCCCGAAGGGAATTTAAAATACAAATCATTACCATTTGCCCTTCCTTAGCCAGTTTTTTAATATCAGCAATCACTTTCTTCTCTTGCTGTTCCATCTTCATTCGCTCTCTATCAAGGTCGCGCATGGCTTTGTTCAATGCGCGTTGGTTTTTACGCAGCATCTCCTCCGGCGTCATTCGGTGTCCAAACAACCACTCCATAACTTCCTGTTTAAAGCTAATATAGAAAATATTATAAAGTCATCTTTTTAGTTTCAATCTCGTGTAATAAGAATAAGGAGAAATTGAATAAAATCCTTTTGTTGTTAACACATACCTTTTTGTATGAAATATTACAGGCAAAGTCTAAAGGATACAAAAAATATAAATTGAATGAATCACCGAGTTATAATATGAACATTTATAATTTCGTCTTTTCACTGGATAAACCTTTATATTTAAATATCAGAGTAAATTCTTAATACTTATTACTTGCTACCGATTAAATATTAAATATTAGTCTAACAAAACTAAGAAATTAATATAGAATTGTGATTGATGACATTTAATTATGTTAAAAAGTTAAATATTTACACCAGGAGCCTGAGACGAATCACTAGTTTCAGTTTGCGACAGGCGACGGCGCGACTTACTGACTTGAGTACTGACGCCAAACAAATTTGTATGGAAATGGTCACGTGACAAATCGTGAGCTCGTTCTATTAGCTTACAAATTCAAATTGAAATTAATAACATATATATATTCATAAATTCAATTCCGATCATTTTCACTCAGAATGCGCCGAGAATTTAGCTAAGCATGTATCTTATAAATTTGTTACGTAGAAAGGAAAACATTCCGGCACTTCTCCAGTGCCTAGGCCTCAGGGTGCCTGATGGCTACGTTAGAAGGCGACATCAACCGCCGATACTATTCGTACCCTCAGTGAAAACTAACTTATCATAAAAGGCACACATGACATAATGTATAAAAATAACTAATGAACTGCATATATTAACAGACGTTTTTGCAGATGTCGCTATCATCGCTTGACCCATAACAATAGGTACGCTGTCAGTTTTCAGCAATTCTTACGTAAAAATTCGGTACGATTTAGTGAATCTTAAAAGGTGTCATGTTACATTTACAGTTAACATACAGTTGTAACATGACATTAGTTAAGCGTAGGTTATCACGTGACTATTCGCATTTGATTCCGTTTTTCGTTATCTATAAATAATTTATACCATTCGTATTTTAAAAATAATATTTATCAGAAATCGTAAAAAAGATTTAAGTATAGCCGAAATATAGCAGATCTAGAAACGTTTGAAACGTTTTTTACTAGTATTCCTGTTTCTACAACAAAATCATTAAACTCTTCACATATTATGGTAGAGCCAATGCTGAAAAATAATGTAAATATGTTAACAATAATGACATTAATAAAGCATTCAAACTTATTAATGTAAAGAAGACCTATGACTTCTGGGGCATATCTGTGAGCATTGTAAACCCATTAATAGACGTTATCGCGCCTGAATTAGCATTTTTTTAACGAATGTATCGACTGTGGCGTATTCCCAAACTTAATGAAACATAGTAAAATAACTCCACTTTTCAAATCGGGTATCAGTTCTGATCCCACAAACATTAGACCAATATCTGTACTACCAAATTTTAGTATTCCCTACTTCATGATAAACAATTCGGATTTACAAGAGGTCGCTCAACTGCAGATGCTGGTATAAGTTTAGTATCACACATTTTTGAGGCCTGGGAGAAATCAGACATGATGCGTTGGGAGTCTTTTGTGATTCGTTTAAGGCTTTTAACTGCGTGCACCATGAAACACTTATTAGGAAATTGGGCCACTATGGTATCAAGGGACTAGCACTAGACTTACTCAAGTCGTACTTATGTGATCGCATACAGCGAGTTGAAGTGAACGGTACCTAAGCATTCTCTAGGGTCCTTAGTTTCTATGGATGTACCACAAGGTTCAATATTGGGGCCTTTTTTATTTTTAATTTATATTAATGATCTGTCCGAACTAGTCAAACATGACTATGAGATTGTACTATTTGCAGATGAATCATCACTTTCATTTTAATTAAAGCGACAATTGACAACGTAAACAATGCAATCCCAAAAATTGTTAACTGGTTTAATGTTAGTAACTTGGTACTAAATCAGAAAAAAACTAAATGTATATGATGTAACTGAAGTAGAAGCGAATGTTAAAGTTAAAAAGGAAAAGTTGGAAATAGTTAATAACACTGTATTTTTGGGATTAACATTAGATAATAAACGACAATGGGGCCACACATTGATGGACTAGCGAAGACTGACTTCTGCGGCATACGCAGTCAAAAAGATACGTCTTCTCACGGACGTTGATCCACCTCGACTGGTTTACTAATTACTTCAGTTACTTTCACAGTATTATGTCATATGGCATAATATTGTGGGGAGGGGCTGGAGATATTAATGTCGCAGTAAAGTAGTTAAATCAGAGAGTTAATTGAATCTCTAGACATTTAATTAAAGATCGCTATTCAATCAACTCGCTAGCGTTTTGATTTAAATAAAGCAGCGTCGAAAACATTTAACTATCTGTCTGACCGAAAGCCAACGTGTTGATTAATGTAAACAAGATGGCGGTCAAGACTCAGGCAGGCAGACAAACAAGGGGGCATGTTCATACAATATTTACAAAAACTTACCGACTACACGAGGACACTATACACAAAATATGTGATATAAAGATTACATATAATACAAAAATGAAAACTACCAGCTTATCCTCTGCGTTTTCACTAGTAAAATTAAATTTAATTTTCACCACCGTGAAAAAAAACGTCTACCATGAACGAAGTTTCCCGCGCTTTTTTTATCTTGAATCTTTTAAGCAGTTAGTACATCACTATGACGTCATTACAGCGCGGTGCCTAGTTAACTTCTGCTTGTAGTGACTATTTGCGATCATTTTAGCCATAATCTTTATGCATTGTGCAAAAGAGAACAATTTTTAAGTATCATGTTTTGTTGTTTTTTTAAGTCAAAATTAAAAACAAATAGTCTCTCTATAATATACGTTCAACAAAACTTTACCCATACTACATCTATGATGTTTAATGTAGGGATGTCAACATCGATGTTTTTCTAACATCGATGTTAAATTAATTATTGATGATTTGCCTTAATTGTTGACAAAGATTAACAACAGAACAAATTATTACATATTCCGATATTTTTTATCAACTGACTGAATGAAAAGTAATTTTGATAAAGAAGATCCTTTTAATATATTTCTTTGTTGATAAAGAGTAGTGAGGAAGAGTGAGAGGGAAAGAGCGAGTGAGACTAGGAAGAACGAACGGAGGGAACGACCTAGGCGCAAATAATGAATACGCATTAAAAAATTTAATAAAACTGATTTGTGGATGCGTTCATAGAAGAAATAATTTGTTTCGTAAGTTGCATTGGTCGTGCCGTGCCTTGCCGTGAGTGAACATCGATGTTACGAAATTTTTCGTATAGCAACATCGATGATTTTGCTTTCAACATCTGTTCGATGATCATCGAGCATCCCTATTCCCTAGTTTATTGTTGATTCTGTGATGTGATTGTGTTGTCGATTTTACGAATATTCATTAATGATAGATTTTAATTATTTTAATCCAAAGTACTGTTTATCTGAATAAAGCCTCACAAATTAATAGTTTTATGTGTAGAAATATTTGCTTCTATGATATATTGCGGGTTTCTAGTTTCTACTGTCTAACCATTTGTGCCTTTGATTATTAATGTCAAAAGAAGAACTCGCGCGTTTTTCAATTTTTTAAATTTCTGCCTTCGGTGTGTCTGTGCACTTAATACCAACGTTTAATAATAATATTAAAACTTGCTTTTCTATTAAATTTACTTTGTTAAAATTAAAACGTTGTGGTAAAGATTGCATTATGAGTGGCGACGATGTAACTATAATGGAGGTGGACGAAGTTGAACCTGCGACTTCAAAGTCTGTTGCATCAGTCTCGTTGAAAACCGCACAGTTGCCGTGGATAGAAAAGTATCGTCCTCAGAAATTTTCAGACATTGTTGGGAATGAAGATACCGTGTCACGGCTGGCTGTGTTTGCAAAGGCGGGCAACGCTCCTAACATTATTATAGCCGGTCCGCCAGGTGTAGGCAAAACGACAACTATTCTATGCTTGGCACGAGCTCTACTCGGAGTGGCTTTCAAAGACGCCGTGCTCGAGCTCAACGCATCGAACGACCGCGGAATTGATGTAGTTAGAAATAAAATAAAGATGTTTGCACAACAAAAGGTACAATATACAGCGTAGCTTTAACTGGGGAAGTACACTTAGTTCTGTAGATAATAAATAGTAATTTGTAAACAAAGTTTTCATTTATTAAATATAAAGGAAACTTGTATTTGACTGAATTTTTAATCTATATAAATGGCTACTTTCCAGGTTGTATTAAAAATTGTATGTCCATTAAGTGTTATTTGATACAATAATTTATTTATTTTTAATTAGGTGACACTTCCCCCTGGACGACACAAGATAGTGATACTGGATGAGGCAGATAGCATGACTGATGGAGCACAGCAGGCTCTTCGACGGACAATGGAGCTTTACTCGAGCACCACACGGTTTGCTCTTGCCGCTAACAACAGTGAGAAAATTATCGAACCTATACAATCACGTTGTGCTGTGCTTCGTTACTCTAGGCTCACTGACTCACAGATATTAGCAAAGGTACTGACTGATGACTAAACATAATTTAACAATAATGCATCATTAGTAAGAATAATATTATTTTTAACTTAATTATCAGTAACATAGTAAGTGATCATTTTTGGATAATGAATGTCAAGGTGGTAGAGGTGTGCGGGAAGGAAGGTCTCTCGTACACCGAGGAAGGGGTGTCGGCCGTGGTGTTCACGGCGCAGGGAGACCTGAGAGCCGCACTCAACAACCTGCAGTCCACGGCGCAGGGCTTCGGCCACGTCAGCCCCGATCACGTGTTCAAGGTGTGCGACGAGCCGCACCCGATGCTCATCCGCAATATGCTCGAATCCTGCCTCAAGCGGGACATTCACGAGGCCTACAAGGTCAGACCGCGCCCGCTCCACACGTACGCCTTAACGAAACCTATTGTCGGTAAATGCCAAATAACGATTCGCAGGTGATAGCGAAGCTGGTGAAGCTGGGCTACGCCGCGGAAGACATCGTCGGTAACATTTTCAGAGTAGCCAAGACGTTGGACGCGCCCGACGACGCCAAGCTGACGCTGATCCGCGAGATAGGGCTGACGCACATGCGCGTGGCCGACGGCCTCTCCTCGCCACTGCAGCTGGCCGCCCTGCTCGCGCGCATGTGCCACGGCTCTTGAACTTCTAACCAAAAGAGTAAAGAATACCTTCAGCTTTTTGTTATTTTCTTTTCTGCCCGTCTCCCTCCGTACGTTTAAAAGATAAGTTTGGATCGTTCATACTAGGAGCTAGCCTTCAATTTCCTCCGAACGAAGTCTCGGGCGCGGCGAGTGAAATAATAAAAGGATTCGACAAAAAAAACCACGCATACGTAAAAATAAATTTATGACAAAATATAAAAAGTCTGACGAGCGTAGAGTTGCGCCGGCGCAGGTCACCGCGTGCCCGCGATCAGCTTGTTGTGCTCCGCCATCAGACTCTGCAACCACACGTCACCTCGCAGTGAGCCAAACTCGGCACGTGCGAACTATTGTTTAAAGGATAAAGTTAGAGGTTGTCCGGAGCGCGGCGCGAAGGGAGGTCGACGGCGTCAATGGATGACCTGCTGCGCCTCCACCGGCACCTCTTCGATCATCTTCTGATGCTCCTCGCTCAGCGCCTGCCACACACACACCCGTCACCCCGCTTACTCCCGAGAGCCCTCGTCGGATCGAAAGGGATGGAAATTACCTTGAAATACTTGACCGTCTTGACGCGCAGCTCGAGCGTGGCGTCCTCGTCGCACACGAAGAGCGCCTGCGGGTGCTGCTGGAAGGCGGACACGGTCCACATGTGGTTGACGCCCTCCTCGATGGCCTTGGACAGCGCCGGCGCCTTGTGAGCGCCCGTGATCAGGATCATCACCTCCTTCGCGTCCATCACCGTGCCGACGCCCACCGTGAGAGCCTTCGAGGGCACCTTGGAGATGTCGTTGTCGAAGAAGCGCTTGTTGGCCTCGAGCGTGTCGTAGGCGAGAGTCTTGACGCGCGTGCGCGACACGAGAGAGGAGCCGGGCTCGTTGAAGGCGATGTGCCCGTCGGGCCCGATGCCGCCCACGAACAGGTGCACGCCGCCCGCCTCTTTGATGAGGCGCTCGAAGCGCGCGCACTCGGCCGCCAAGTCGGACGCGTTGCCGTCCAGCACGTGCGCGTGCTCCGGCGCTATGTCGACGTGCTTAAAGAACTCGTTGTACATGTAGTGGTGGTACGATTCGGGGTGGTCGCGCGGCAGCCCCACGTACTCGTCCATGTTGAAGGTGGTCACGTGCTCGAAGGAGAGACGACCTTCGCGATAGAAGTCGATCAGGCGTCGGTACATCCCGAGAGGCGTGCCGCCCGTGGGCAGCCCCAGCACGAAGCGCCGTCCCGGCCCGGGAGCGAATTCCTTGATGCGCTGCATCACGAACCGTGCCGCCCAATCCGCCACCACCGACGCGTCCTCTAAGATTATCAGGCGCATTTCGATGTGAATTGACTCTGAAATTAATATCATATTGTAAAACATGCATTCGTATACTTTTTAAAAATATATAAATAAAGTTATTAAAAACACTTGGTCCATGTGGCATTTCCTCATTGCATTGGGATACTTACACAATGCTAGGAAAGGTCCGGCTCGGGTCACCAGTGTCGTCCCCCAGGCAAAGCTTTGCCTAGCGCCCGTGTACTTGTACAACTCGAAAGCCTTTAATAATTTTCTAATATTATTTGGCTTCAATTTCATTATATCTTACCAATAATACTTAAAATAATATACTTTATCAGTTTCTTTGACCTCGCGAGACAGTCGAGTGCAGATATACGTGTCATCGACCTAAACGTTTGCAACAAACTTTATTTGTTTCTCAATTATCAGTTATATTACATCAGTTTACTAAATTTAAGTGAGTTATTTTATAAATAGCAATATTTAGTGATTCCGGTTTTTACACAATAAAAAACTTTTAAATCGTTTCTTTCATATTGACCATGAAAATGGAAATCTTTAAAATATACCTAGATGGAACTCATACAAATGTTAAAAACTTTTTTGCCACGACAGGTCACTAACCTTTAAAAATTGTTCTCGTTCCGAACGGATTTGTGACTAACGAAAGCTGCGGCCGACGCGCTCTCGCCGCTGACCACAATTGCACACTGAATGTATATTTTTATTTGTTTACGTTAACGTCTATCAGTTAAATTAATAAACTAACAAAACAAGTGACAGTGCTCGGTAGGTAATTAAAGTCGGTCGACATGGAAGTCGCAGATCGAGCTGTCAATTGTCATTTGCCAATAATTGCAGTTTGGGCGCGAAATACAAACATTTTGCACATTGTAAAACACGATTTAAAATCAACAAGAAAATATTTTTTGTAATGTTTTATTTAAATAATAGGTACTTAATAATTAATGTTGTCACGACGCAGGCGGATGGAATTTACTGTTCTAATATAGTACAATACCGCACCGGACGAGAGCAGATTTATAAATAATAATTAAGATATAGTGTTCAGATTTTTCTAAACTGCACGAGAGAGCGTAGAAAAATCTAAACTTCGTCGTGTGCAATAAGCCTATCGTTAAAATTATTGTAAACAAATAAAAGTTAATTGTGCTGGACATTCTTAACTAGTGAATATAGTTTGTAATTACGCTATGCTATTTAATATAACATTATCACTACGATCTCTAACACTATCCGGAGACAAAAACTGCAGACGATTGTCCCGGTCAAAACTAACGTATAGGGGAAGATCGTTACCATTCGTACGCGGGGCACATTCATACAGTCAAAATAAAACTTGAACGAAACAAAGTACAGTCTTGCTTTTGTATGTGTGCATGAGTCGAGGTACCAACTTTACATCAACGAAGTTTTGCGAAATTCGCACCGATGAGAGTGAAGTTACAGGCATGGACGTGTTTTCGCGCTCAGTAAGTAATTTTTTGATCAATGTTTTTGTCTCTTGTTACCGTAGATAAAATAAGTTTTCGAGTAGAGTATTCTATCAGAACTTGCAAAATATACTTAAAATACGTCTCCAATACTTAATTTATGACGTTTTCCTATTTATATAAGTTATATTTTGTTGTTATTCAGTTAGTGGGGTACTTTCGGACAGCACTAGATGGGGCACATTTGAACGAATTGTACTACTACTAAAATTGTGCTAATCCGCACCAAAGATCAAGAAATGTGATTCTAAATTTAAGATACATAACTAATTAAATTTTGTTTTACATAAGAAAAGCTATGTAATTTTTGTTTAATAGAAATTAAATCTTTATTTTTCTGTTTAATTTCATTGCTAATAAATGAATTTTGATTTATATGTGTCGTTTTAATCGCACGTACGGAACTACCCCACAGCGTACGAAGGTAACCCCAACACTGTACGAAGGTGCCCCGTTGATGGGGCAGATTCGTACGTTTTCCAGATTTAGTTTAAATCATAATTATGGTTGAACCATCAGATGAAATCATTTTTAATTTTTTTATATGAATCTCAGATAGTTAGACTATAAATTTAAGCTATCAGGTGATAAATTCATGGAAAAAGAAAAAAATAAAATGCGAAAACCGTACGAAGGGTCCCGACCTTCCCCTATTTAGTAAACGAGTTAATAGACGATACCAGAAATGATGAGCTCTCCTTTCGAGAGATGGAGTAACTCGACAACACGGGAACGTGCGTTCACTCACTTGGCGTAAGTGTTTACATTGTGGTTACAAAAATATTTCATAAATTGTAAAACTTTGTTCTTCCACAGACGATTACTATCAAAGGGAGGAACGAGCGACGCCGGATCACTGCGGCCAGGGCGGCCAGTGACGTCCGGCGTTTTGACGGTGAAGCGAGGGAGGCGCGGGTCCCAGCCGCGAGAGAGACCCGAGAGCCCCCAGGGGCTCGAAGCGGGCGGGCCCTCGGGGGACGTCGCGGGAGCCCCCCCGAGCTTCGGGTCAGGCGCAGCGCGCGCGTTTCGCCGGCGGTTCGCCCTCGCCGCTCCAGAAGGCGTATTCGGGCAGCCACTTGACCAGCTGCGCGTCGAAGAACTCCTCCAGACTCTTGGCGTCCCTGTACGGCTGCGACTCCACCTGCGACGAAGGCCGAGTTACAAGGGACGAGGCGAGGCCGGGCGGGGCCGGAGCGGAGGCGGCGGGTACGTACGGGGTTGCAGCGGTAGACGTTCCGGAAGAGCAGCCGCACGTCGGCCACGAACTGCGCCTCGTGCGTGTAGCGGTTCTCGGCCCGGGGCTGCAGCTTCATGCGGATCACGTCCAGGCACATGGCGCTCCCTCCCTGGTGACGCACGACCTTTGTGATTACCGATTTCGACAAAGAGCGGAACCGACGACTCGGTCAAAAACGAAGCGAACCTGCGGCTCCCGGAACGGTATCGACTGATCGACCTGGCAGTACAGCTCCAGCGTGATCCTCTCGACGATGCGCCTGCGCCGGCCGCTCAGCTCGCCGGGCGGCGTCGGGCCCTCCTCGGGCAGCGCCGCGAAGTTGACGCACAGCAGACACTGCCACGACTCGGTCTCCCTGCGAACGGAACCTTGAGTCGAACGAACGAACGGCGGAGACGCGGGCGGAGCGGCACTCACTCGGGCAGCTTCTCGACGGCGGGGATGTGGCAGTACTGGTGGAAGACTTTGGGGCAGCGGTCGCAGCACATGAGCTCGCCGCCGTCCATGCAGACGGCGCACCAGTCGTCGTTGGGGTCCGGGGGCCTGGCGTCCGTGGACGAGTGGACGGGGTCCGGCGACCTGCCCGCGCCCTCGGCCACCACCTGCACGCCGTTGGAGTCCAGCTTGGCGATCGTCGCCATCAGGTCTTGCACGGACTCGGCGCACACCTTGTCCAGCTCGGACGAGGCTCCGCCCTGAGGACCGCGCCTCGTATTAGATATCGAGAAACATCTCACACGAGAGAATAGAGTTTCGACTCACGTTGAGGCTGGGACTGGGCGTCTTGGGGTTGGTGGAGGTGACGAGAGGCGTGCGCGCGGGCGTGGCGTGGCGCGGGCCGAGAGTGATCTTGAACTCGGGCCCCGACGCGGGCGCCGGGAGCCCCGGGCCGGTCACGCCTTCGCCGGACGCTGCAATCATTCTCACTTCTTACGACGTTCTGCGGCCGCGAGTGAACAACAAATACATTTTTGATAAACGCTAGTTACCCGAGCCGTGTCCGTGCTGCGGGATGTGCCACTTGGCGCCGGCGGGCGGCGTGAGCGCGGCGAAGGGGGGCGCGGGGGGCGCCGGCGAAGGGGTCCGGGGTCCGCCGCCGCGGCGCCCTCCGCTCGCGAACGCCACGTTGCCGTACGCGCCCATCACTGCACAAACGTCGTATCGTCACTCGAGCCGTCGAGACGCCCGAGGTCGGATCGGGAGCGTACTCACTGTGGTAGGCCTGGTGGGCGTGAAGGGCTCGGCCGCTCGCCGCTCCGCCCGCCCCCGCCTGCGCCGCCGCCGCCGTCGCGCCGCGCCCCGACGCGTTGAGCAGGCCGCGCAGGTTCAACTCGTTCATACCTGCGTCGGAGCGAAGAGCGCTTTTGAACGTTAGGCTGTCGCCAGAATCGGAAGTCTCCGAGCCGGACGTACCGTGCAAGTGATGGGGGTGCGTAGTGGAGGTGACGTGCGGATGCCTGAGCGGCGTGTGGGGCCTCGGGCGCGCCAGGGGCAGGCCGTAGGCGCCTCCCGCGGCCACGTACGACTGGAACGCGAACGCACTTCCTCATCACTATTACGTTAATTAAATAGCCACTATTTCGGAGAGAGCATAATAAAATCTCTAAAAAGAAACTTCCAGTCCCCTCTTAATACACTATCGACGGAGTACTTCTACTGCAGGTCCATGAAATTAGAGATTTAAGAGTTATACCTCATTATAATGCTTCTAGAATGTTAGGTTTCATAAGGCGGTCGACTAAGTGTTTTAAAAATGTGAAGCCTAAAACCATACTTTTCAGTTCTCTGGGTTCTTCGGAACCCTCAATATTCTGACCATGTTGACAGAATCGAACGACGATCGAATTAACAACATTAGCTATAAATGCGAGTATGAAAAAAGCTTTCTTTCACTTGCGATCACTCCGCGATAGACGCAGCCTTATCGACATTATATTGTTTTTTATGTCATAACGTGTTATCTGTGTTTGTATGTGTTTCGTTAGTGTGCCTTTTAAAATAAATAAAAAATAGCCGTTCTATCTTACGTACAATAAAATTGGCATCGACCTGTAGAAGTAGTACTACGTTTAAAGTATATTTAGACCCCTCTTATATAGAACCGGTAGTTTCTTTTTAGTAAAACTAAGTTCATTTTGGGGCATTTAAAGCCATTTTTTACTTTTAACCGACCAATTTACATTTCAAACATTACGTATTGGGGCATTTTGAAGTTCATTTATAACACTATTCATCGCTACTGCAAACTTACCTAACTTCAGACACAAAATAATAAAGAAACACACGAGTCACACCGGGGAGCCTCTTCCGTTCAAAACAAAATTAATATTAATTAATCGCCGTCCTCAGAACTGAGCAATTTTTATTAAATTTGTGAGTTAAATCTAGTTTTCTTAAATCGCACTAATGACGTTTACATTCCCAAATCCCCGATCGGGACCTACCTGATACCGAGCCATCGTCTGAGACATGAAAGGAAACGCACCATTATCGCCACCGTTCAATAATATAACAGTAGAACAATAATTATAAATATAAATCATATTATAATAAACGCTCACCTGATGCATGGCGACTTGCTGCAGCGCCAAGACCGCGGAGTGGGGCGCGGCCTGGTAAGTCCCGCCCGCCGCGGGGGCGGTCGCGGGCGGCGGGGGAGCCGAAGGCGCCGCCGAAGCCCCGGAGCCGCCGCCGCCGCCGTCCACCTTGCCGTCCACGACGATGGCGCCGATCGTCGACAAGACTGCAACAAGCGAACGCCCGAATAGTGTCGAGCCCCTCGGGGGACCGCGGCGACGACTCGCGGGCGGACTCACCCCTGACGAGCTCGGGTAGCTTGTCCAGCTGCAGCGTGATGCGCACGGGGATCTCGGGGTTGGGGATGTCGGCCCGGCGGCTCTTGATGCGCTGCAGGTGCTGGCACACCGTGCGCTTGCCGTGCAGCACGGCCGTGTCGCTGCCCTGCTCGAGCGCGGCGCCGACGAAGCTCAGGCAGTGGTCGGTGATGGCGGCCAGCTGCTCGAGGGCGGCCTGCTTCTCGCCCAGCGTGCGCTGCTTGCCGTCGCAGACCTCGTTGAGCCTCAGCACCAGCTGCTTGCCGCGCGTGTTGATGGCGTTGGTCAACCTGCGACACGCCAGTCGGGCTTCAGCCGGCCCGCTAGGGTTGGGAGGTCGGGGCAAAGCGGACGCGGAGGGACACTAACTTGACGACGGTCTGCGTGATCTCGTGAACGAGCGCCTTCTTCTTGTCGGCGATGAGCTGCCGGCGGTCGCGGATGACCTTCATGGCGGACCCGAGCAGCACGCGCTTGTAGCTGACCTCGGAGACCAGCGCGGCGATGGCGACCCGCGCCTGCGCGGCCATCTCGGTGCTGAACTGGTACTTGTGGTCGCGGTGGTGCTGCAGCTGGCAGTCGCGGCACGTCAGGCGGTCGCACGTCTCGCAGAACAGGCCGAGTTTTTCCTGTGAGGGAGCGAGTCTTTCAGTCGACCGGAACGGGGTTCGCTCGTGGCGATGGGACTTCGGTCCGCCGCGTTACGTTACCTGAGGATGGTCCCGGCAGTACATGTCTCGGTCGGATCGCGAGCCCTGCGCCGCCTGCAGCTCCGTCACGGCCTCGTCTTTGCTCTTTATCGTGTGGTCCTTTGTTATCTTCAGCCTGGTTCATACAATATGGACTAAGACTGAGCGTTGAAGGAGGCGGGATTTGGGTAAATGTTTTATTATACTCAATATTATATTGCCAATTGTAAGTCATGGTTAAGATAAAGGACGCTGAAGTTCTTATAAATTAATGACCTTTGATGTGCCTGCACACAATTGTCACAGATGAACTCAGCACAGTCCACACAATAGCTGGTGGCGGGTTCTGTGTCCTCACAGCTGTTGCACTGTTGTTCGCTCCCTCCAGCTCCTAGAGGAAATCCAAATGCATATGTCTGATAATCTCTATGAGGTTAAAATTTTATCCCTTGTTTTGGTTTTCACTAATTTGTTAGAACTTTTATTGATTAGGCGACAGTTCCTGTGAGCACAAACAGTTGATAATAAGATTGATAAGAATCATTAGTAGTACCAGTGTTGCCTGCATGTTCAACAGAAACCTTCTCAAGAACAAATCTCTGGTCGATCATATTATTGGGTTGACACTGGAGCCTGCAAACTGCACACTGGATGGTGACACGGCCTGCTCCTAATGAGGAAAACATGTATAAAACTGCAATTCTATAGTATTGTTAACAGAAAGAGAACTATAAACTTTAGACAATTTTATTTTTTATTTTTATTCAAAAGCATTTACTTAAAAGAAAATCTCTTGGAAATAGATACATTTTTAGAAAACCTTTATTATTATATGTACCTAACTATGATATAATTTAATTTGAATTGTAATTGTATTTATTTGTATTGTACCTAAAAAAGTCTCTGCTACCAGACAGTTTCTCTTCCACTTTAGCTTTAATACATGGCTCACACGCTGAATGAAGACATTCCATTAATTTAGGTATGCCTTCTGTTTGTGCCAGCACAGCTTGGCAAAAGACACACTTCATAGTGAGAAAGCTTGTTCGTACTGCTGGTGAAACAAGTGAATCAGCCCCCTCCCCACCATCACCTTTGCCCAATGCATCTGCACCACCACTGGTACCAGCACCATCGAGGCAACTCACCTGAAATATTTAGATAATTTTATGGATGTAAACAGATATTTTTTTAAAAACCTAGTTTTTTAAAGGATTCCAATGTATGTATTGGTACATATTGGCAAAAAATTGTTTAATAGCCATATTAATTTATTATAGTTTCACATAAATAAGTTAATTAGTTCTTACATTAGGACGAGAGGACGAGTTATCGGTGAGTTCCTCAAGTACTTCCTCTTTGATAGTAACGCCGAGCAGGGGTCCTAGGTCCATGAGTGCTCTCTCAATCTCCTCACCACAATCGCTGCCACCCGTGAACAGACTTGAACTCTCCATTAAACTGAACTTGCACTAAATCAGTATCACTTCTATTCTCATTTTATGTCATTTATAGAAGTTACGAGCACTTATACAGCGATTATGTTTTACCACATAAGCGCAAAAAAATTGTATCCTTTTTTGTTTTCATTTAATTTACTTCGCTCCACACTACTCAATGTTCATGAAGACATTAATGATTAATTGTAGTCTTTGAAGTTTAAAGACATCTTTCATACTTTTACTTTTTTACTTGATTTGTGTAGAAGATGCATAAACCCAAACCACAGATGAGTACGTAATATGAGGACTTTTGACATTTTAACTCTGTGGACCACAAACGATTATTGCCGTATCTCCCATAGATTTATGAAACGGTGACAACACGTTCTTAAAATGCCAAATACGTCAACTTCCGTCAAATATGAACTACCGAACTGTACCAAGTCCAACTTGATCTGTTATAAAGTCAACAATCAAAATATTAAAATGGCTGACGGAACTCCTAGTAAAAGCGATATTGAAGCAATTTTTCAGAGACTACGATCTGTTTCAGCCAATAAAGTAAGTCAAAGATGAAATAAAAAATTTCGGCAGGTTTGATTACCGTTGAATTTTTATAATTAATATCATTTACAGATATGTTTCGACTGCAATGCAAAGAACCCTACGTGGTCGTCGGTGACGTACGGAGTTTTCATCTGCCTAGACTGCTCAGCGGTGCATCGGAGTCTTGGAGTGCACATAACCTTCGTACGGTCCACCCAGCTTGACACCAACTGGACATGGAAGCAATTAAGAAATATGCAGCTGGGTGGAAACGTGAATGCGGTACTTATCCAGTCGTTTTATGTATTCTTCCTGTATTACTGCTATTATGTTCCTATGTTATTACATTCTGTATTTTGTAGACTCAGTTTTTCCGTACGCATGGGCTAGTAACCGACGATGCACGTCAAAAGTACAATTCAAGAGTTGCACAAATGTACAAAGACAAACTTAATACGATGTCTGAACAGGCTATGAAAACATATGGTACTAAAGTAAGTTAAAGTTTCAATCGTCTAGGTGTGGCATTGTTAATGATAATATTGGCATGATAAGCTAATAGATACACAAATAAACACATGAACTGATTAACTTCAAATCTTCTTATTGTCAATTGCGTTTTGTGTGTCTAAGGCGTCCGTCTCGTCTCCTGGTTCTAATCTACCTCTCGAGTTATAAATAGTGTCACTAACTCTACTTTTTATATACTGATATTGATATCTAGTTCAAAAGTTACTAAAACTTAATTATCATCTAAAACATTTAATCTCCACAATCTACGCCTATTCTCTTGTAAAATAATATATACATGTAGTATTATGTAATCTCTTTTTTTGTCTTTACTAGCTACATTTGGAACCTGCAACAGCTGAGAAAGAAAACAAGGCAACGAAGGAGGTAGACTGGTTTGCAGAACATACTGATGGCATTAACATTGACTCAGAGGTATTCACCCCGTCCCTGCCACACTACTCCGCTGGTGGTTGGGACTTCTAACAAATACATTTTAATCACCATTGCATATTTTTCAATTGATGCTATTAATGTGTGTTTTTGAGGAGTTTTTTATTTTTCATGATAATTATTCAACAATAAATCGTTAATAATAATACATAGCATGTAACCGGTTAATGCCTTTACTTCTAAATGTTAAGAATTTTTTATTGTGTCTTGATGTAAAAACGAGAACCTATAATTTTCTTGTTTGTGTACATTTCCAAAGTGTCTTCATTATTTCACTCTGCTTTAACCGTTCTATGATCTTCAGGTCCTACTTTGAAGCAATGCTGTGCTGTTTATAGATTTGGTCATTTGTTTATTTGTCATTAAGTAGTTAGCTTAAGTTTACAGATTGAAAAAATCAAATCAAAATCAAAATGAGTAAATAATATATGTCAGGTGATAATGAGTATGACACAGTTAAGTTTCATGAAATGTTATTTTATTTCTCGACAAAGTCACCTTCGTCGTCATCGGCGTCTAGAGCTTCTTATTTTAAAAAACTCCACTACTGCATCATCTTCTACTTCATGAGATATTCCTCTAATATCCACGGTAATAGGTTGAAATCACTATGAGCTTCTCGAATGGCAGCCATCGCAACTCTGGACACACAACGGACAAAAAAACAAATGAGAATTGATTGCTTCTTTATTATTATATCCAATGACTGGGCTGCGTTTGCCCCAATTTATCTTTTTCATTCCAAAGACGTATCGTATCGCATCATCACTATTTATCGAATATCTCTCATATTGTACGCCCAGGCCTACTCCGCGGCGGTGACTACGGTGAACAACAATTTCAGCGAAGAAGCTCGACTCTGGGGCGCGAAAGACTCCGAGGACGCGCCGCCGACGAGCAAAGCCCCACCGAGACAAACGGCGAGGAGGACAGTCAGTACCGCAGTAGCGATCGACTATTCGTTTACGGTTACGGTCTGATGAATAATTGGAAAACTTTGAATCCGCAGCTGGGTGCTCGCAAAGGAGGTCTCGGGGCGACCAAGGTGGCCGCCAATTTCGACGACATCGAGCGAGAGGCGATGATGGCCGAAAAGCTGAGGATGGAGGTCGGTCTATTGCGACGCTACGGGTAATGGGTACGAGCGAAAAGTTAATAATTAATGAGTACGTCACGTGACGCGTTGCAGGCGCCGGCCGCCCGGGCCCAGCCCTCGGCCGAGGCGGTCGCCGAGGAGGTGGCCGCTCTGCGTCTGCAGTACCGCCCGGACCAGGCCCGGCAGCACGCCGACAGACTCGGCATGGCCAACACTGCGGCCCGAGACCGGTATTTCGAATGGCTTTCTTTCGTTCGGCAGCGTTGATGTGGGAAATTTTAACATTCAATCCTCGCAGAGGCGGAGTCTCGCACAGCGCGACGCACGCCATGCAGAGCATCGAGCAGGAGGACGCGTCCCCCGCCGCCGACGCGCCCGACGCGGACGACTTCGCCGCCGCCTTCACCATGATCAGGTACGACCGCTCGTCGCGCCGAGAAACCGCAGACGAACGCGCTTAAACGTACTTGTGACGTCGAAAAATGTGCAGAAACGAGCCGTTCGGTCGCGGCGGGGACCTCGGCGGCGGCGAGACCGACTGGCAGATCGTCCCGGAGCCCGGGCGGTTCTCGCGCCCCTCGCCGATCTCCGAGCCCCGGTCGGCGCCCGCGCAGCCCCGCCGCGCCCCTCGCTCCCGAGCTCGCGACGACGACGACGACTCCGCCGTCAAGAAGTTCGGCTCGGCCAAGTCCATCAGCTCGGCGCAGTTTTTCGGCGATCAGGTGAGCGGCGACGCCGAGTTTCGCTCGAGAGCGGAGCCGGGGAGTCTGAACCTCGATAATGCGCAGGAGTCCCGCGGCGAGGAGTCGGCGCTGTCGCGGTTCTCGGGCAGCTCGCACATCTCGTCGGCCGAGCTGTTCGGCGGCGCCGCCCCACGCCAGCCCGCCTTCGCGGTCTCCGCGCCGGACCTCGACGACGTGAGTATCCTCCGTGTCCGTACGTCGCTGCACCGGTCGGTCGTCCGCTAAAGTCGCCGGATGTCGGCAGGTCCGCGAGTCGGTGCGCATGGGCGTGACGCGCGTGGCCGGGCGCCTCTCGTCGCTGGCCAATGGCGTGGTGTCGTCCATCCAGGAGAAGTACGGCTACTGATGGACGGCCGGTCTTTCGGGGACGACTGCTGCCTTTTGTCATTTCAATATCTCCAAAATATCAAAGCGATCAGAAGGAACGACGACATTTATGAACTTTGTATTTATTCTACAACATTTTGCGTATTATTGTACATTTGTAAGTAAAATATTGTAAGCGACGTGCTGAAGACATTCCTGTAACATTGTATATATTCAAGATTAGAAAAAAAATAAAAGCCTCAGTCGATGGTCTAGTTGGCTCACACCAATACTGACGAAAGGTCTATCGATGTCTCTTATTGTAATATTGTATGCTCAGAGCGTTTTAGATATTTATTTGGCACTTGGTGAATTCTGGTGAACCGCTATGGACGAGATTCGATGGACTATTACGATTGGATTAATAAAAATATATTAGCAATAAATTATTGTATATTTTAACAAACTCAATTCTTTTTAGCTACTATACAAAGGTTTTCTAGTGAGACCGAGTCGGGGATAAAGTATGTCAGTCGAGCGTCGAAACCGCACTCTTTGAGGTAGAGCACCCTGCCCCAGTCGAGGATGGCCTTGGCTCGACGCCCGACTTCTTCCCTCCGCTGCCGAGAGAGGTCTCTCTGGCCGGAGTCTCTTTTGTCCCGGCTGCGCCCGTCCCCGCAAGTGGCCCACGAGACGATTCCGAGCATTATGTTAAACTCTCTTTTGTCTATTCCCAGTTCCTGAAATGCGATAATTTTACTAAAAAAAACATTTCCAACTTTGGTAGGTAATTAATTACACTCTACTCAAAGCTTTTACATTGCACTAGCCACCGCTCACCATCAGATGTTTGTGAGCCACATATCCATTTGAGCTGCAGCGGTGGTGGCAGCAAGTAGCTATGAGCATGCCACGAGTTTTCGGAAGCGTATTGGCCGATGCGAGACAGCGCAACGAGAAATCTAACACAGTTAAAGATGATCAGTTACAAAGATTGCTTAGAATTATTATTAGCAGTAGTATTGTCGCCAACACTTTGTATATCTATTGTTTACTGGGAACTCTGAGGTAATTATTCCAATAAATACTCACCCGTAGCTACTCCACATAAATGTTTAGCAAAGCCTACAATACTTTCACTTTTCTGCACGGCTGGAACGAGATCTAATATCAAGTGAGCTAAATCTGCTCTTAACCTGAAGGATCCTTCGTTGATATTAGCTGGCTGTAATGATTTTGTTTTACAATCATCATCCTTATTACTATAATTGTTAATATTTTTAAATGAGCCCATTTCCTTTTTATTAGATAATTCAGAACTCAATTTGTGGACACTGTTTTCTACTTTATTTGAATTGTCACTCAAGTTCCGGATCTTGTTGTCTCTCTTGTGTCTGAGAGAAGCTCTCTCTACCAACAAAATGGAACTGCCACTTGCGGCCGGACACCAAGCATGCCATGCAAAATATGATAGATGGCCTAAAATCAAGCATTTCTTATTTTGTAATTAAGTTAAACATAATATTTTAAAAAGATACTCATTAATTACCTTTTCCAGCTCCAAGTTCAACATAACAGGTATGGTCTTTGACTAAGCCCTCATCTTCCATTATATGCATTAACTTTGATGCCTGTCTCAAGTGACGTAAAGAACTCTCTGTTCTTCCTTCTGTTAGAAATTCATCCATTACAGCTGGATGAATTTCTCTATCAGGCATAGTGTCTATTTTATCTTTAAGATATGCTGCAAATATATAAATAAATTGTTTTAAATCTTGATAATTTAAGTTTAGAGTTGTTCATAAGAAATAATTACCACAATTATTATTAAAATACCACAGTAACATAATCTGTACTTAATATCTGTGTTATCAATAATGAGTAGCCCTAAGAAGCATTATAAAAATGAATACATTGTTTGTTTTGAGCTATGACAGTACATTTACTGAAATAATTTTATTTCTTAAATTTCAACATTCTGTATTTAAATTGTTCCATTATAAAAAATTGATGTATATCAATTATAATAACTCATAATTAGATACTTAATAGATGATATCTTACTGTCAAATAGCAGATTAACTTTATTTATAATCTGCTCAATCTGAGTGGATGGTATTTCTGAAAGTGGTTGTTTTAAGGGGCTAGTTTCAACCGGAGCATTAACATTGTATTTGATATAAGGTGGCACCTCTTGCTGACGAGCATTACATATGGTGAGGTGCTTTTGTAGCTTGTTTGCATAGCATGTACTGAAAAGGGGATGTAATTAGGAAAGGTATGTCTTCAAGCATAAAAAAATATTGTTATTGTTTTAACTTACTGTTTATTGTCGTTTGGACAAGGTATTCGCTTTTCATCCTGTAACACAAAATACATATATGTATCTTATTATATTAATTCAATATATTTTGTAAACTAAAGTCCTGGGCCAACTGATTCCAAGTATAACGAGAATTACATATTTAAAACAACTATATTGCAGTTGTGTTACTTGCCTTCCCATCTTTTGTGCCTATCTGAGGTTGGTGCTCTCCACAGTAATTCCATCCAGGGCGCACTGTCATACGACAAAATCGCTTCTTTCTTACTACAAAGAACTTACACTGAGGGCTTAGTGATGGTACTTCCTGTGCCATTTTAATTTCGGAACGTCTGCGTAAACCTGAATTGCCAGATATACCTCAAAAAACACCCATGTCAATTATGTCTTTCCTAAATAAGTTACAGAAACCACGAAACCTTAAAATTTTTTGTGGTTTTTGCCTAATTGAATCAATAAAATAATATATAACTAACTTCTTTATAAGTTTTTTTGGTTATGTATGTCGTGTCACCATAATACGTATCAACGCCAACAATCGCAAAATAATAATTATTTACTGCATATTACAATAACTATGGTGTAACTAAAAACTAATTATTCAATTTTTTTTAAAGGCTTATGGCCTGGTAACAATATTTAATTAAGTTGAAGCTATGGTGTACATCATATTTCTATTTAAAATATAATTTCTAGCAGCATTAACCATTTTTTTAAATTACGTCCTTCAGTAGTCAATAGTCATGAGCGACATGACTGATGAGTGACATCGAACAAGTCAGAACAATCGACAAGTAGTGACTACTGACTAGTGACTACTGACTAGTGTTGCCAACAAGCCGCATACAATTTACTACTTAATTAGTCATCATGCCAAAACTAAATATATTGTACTGTGACCAAATAGGCCAACAAATGAGCCAATTTTTAAACAAGGACCAAAATCTTATAAACAGCTGTTACCCAAATGCTACTTTTAGATATATTGTACGAGTGTCATCCAGTAAAACGGATAATATATTTATAGGCAATAGAGGGAATTTAAACAAAAAAGAGCTATGAAAAATTGTGCTCACTTACTACCAAAAATCTGATTATGTTTACATTCCCTTATAGTAAAAACGGGTTGGATCTTAAAATCGGTCCCCCGAATCTGATGATACTGATTATGCAGGAGTCTCGGGGCACCTTGATTGGAACACCTCCAAGTGATTTTTGCTGCCGGAAATGCGTTTAAGTATTTAAAAAAAAAGGTTGCGTGTACTTATGTACGCGCGTAAGAAGTAATACTTCTTTGGCTTTCTTTATTTTTTTGAAATATAATTAATTAATAATTAATATTTAACGTAAACAATTTAATAATATTTAATATTTAGTATATTATTCAATTATTAATTAATATTAATAACAATTATTATTATTATTTTATTATATTATTCATTCAATTTAATAACTTGGTATGTTTCATAACCTTTTAACTAAGAAACAATAGGTCTTTGTGAAAAAGCATTGCTAAATTTCTTTGAAAAAATAATTAAAACTCCTTTATTTGTTTAAAAGGTAAATGTCATTATGGTCATTAAAATTCTTGGCATAGCTGCTAACTTTACGCATATTCTATTTCTTTTTACTTGTAGATTGTCTTATTTCCATCTCGCTCGCGCACGCTATAATCACACTGACAACTTTGTGTCTCAGGTGCGCGCGCATCGTAAAATTTCACTCTCATCAATTAGTCATAACGCGCCTAAAGAAGTATAACTTCAAAAAAAGTTTTGTGATATGTATTGAAATTTGTAAACAATCCGCCATTTTCTACTTTTCTATTGGTTAGGTATAAGAGATGTGACATTCTCGGTAAATTAATCGATTGTTTTTTAGCATGAAATACCGATGAATAATAAAAATAATAAATTTTTCTGCTGGGTCGTGGTAATTTTCTAAGTGTTTTTTTTATAGACATAATATTTAATTGCTTTAATATTAATATACTAACCTAACCTAACCGAACAATAATAATAATAGATTTTTTGGACAGCTCCGGCGCTACGGGAAATGCAGCCCCTTCACCCTTGCGTACCAAAGCACAGGCATTTTATTCAAGCCTCCGCAGTACGGTAATTACAATTTTACGGTGACATAGACATCAAGTTTCAGGCCTCTTTAACTTCTATATTAGATATCTCTGCATTATCTTAATATATATAAATTACCTGTCACGTTGTTTGTCCGCTATGGACTCCTAAACTACCGAACCGATATCAATCAAATTAGCACACCGTGTGTAGTTTGATCTAACTTAAAAGATAGGATAGCTTACATCTCAATTTATACCCGCAATATTATTTTATTGCAAAATATTTTCAGCATATTTACAACTTTCAGCTACACTCTCAAATACATGCGCATACACAACTATTCACACTCTCAATCATTCACTTCATTTGTAACACTAAATATTTTATAACTATTATTATCATCTTTTCTTTAAACATGTACCACGTAATAATTGTTTTCTAGTTACCCACAACACCGGGCCTCCCTAGTGTGGGGACTAGCGATATATGAATTCTGTCACAAGCCCTTTTGCCATAAATAAAGTTTTTATTATTATTTTATTACTTGATAGTCACAATTTTAACAGATAGCGCTGTGTTGAAAGTACCAACGTTTCACATACCCACACAATTTAATGGCATAACCACCAAAAAAGTATGATGGTCCCCATGACTGGTGTTCTCCTACCGTTTCCCTTGAATAGTCCTATGTAATATAACAACAACCTTAGTTCTCGGCTTTTGGGAGGGTTGTGCGGTACCGGGCGAGTGCTTAAACCGTACATGGAGGACACGGTCGAATTTCTAAAGACAAGCACGAATTATTACAAATCTTATACTTGACGCTGGCTAATGCACAAATCGTGCCAGAGCCATAAAAAACAAAAAACAACCTTAGCCATAGCAACGCTTGGCCGGTCTGCTAGTTAACTATAAACCGTTAGGGGCCTCATAGCCTAGCGGTCTTATTAAGTGGCAGCTAGGTGAGGGGTACCGGGTTCGATTCCCGGTTCGAGGGCAAGTTTTAATTTAATTTAAAATTTGTTCTCGGCCTTTGGGAGGGATGTACGGTACCGGGCGAGTGCTTAAACCGTACATGGAGGACACGGTTGAATTTCTAAGGCAAACACGAATTATAAAAATCTTATACTTGACACATAAGGCTAATGCACAAACCGTGCCAGAGCCATAAAGGAAAAAAAAAATAAAAATAAAAAAAATTTTAAACCTCTACTTAAAATGTGGTGCACTACATGCTGTGGACACCTCGACGAAATCTGTGGCTTTGAACCTGTATAATGTATCTATATAACGTATTTTACTCTATGCTGTGAATCAAACCAATGTTTTGAATTGGAGGTTAGGCGTCACTTACATTTTTTATTAGGTTTTTAAACGTTATTTTATACATAAATATTATGTAGTGAAAACAGTTTAAACAGAAACATGAGCTCACCTAGAAATGACAGTGAAGAGCCATCCGTCGCCGCAGCAGAGTCGGAAAGTGCTTCTACTGGAAGTAATGACGCCGGCGCGTCAGGTCACCATCAAGCCGCGAAGCGAAGACTCTCTAGCACAGCAGTGATAGAAATATCAGATACTGACAGTGATGATTCCGATGTGTGTGCTGTAAACTCCTACCAAGCGTCTGCCGATGAAGTCAAAAGGATTCGTAAAGGTATATGTCGTTTGTTTTTTATTGACAACAAACGAAGTAGAACGACGCGGGAACTTTAAATATTTATTTATTTTACTCAGGCTGGTATCCTTAAGAGTAGGCAGATTAACGTGAGACCACATATCACGTTAATTTTAACTGCAAATAATATGCAAATTTTTCATGGATTGCCATGTTATGTTAACCTATTTACCACATAATATGGCTATGGCGTTTCATAGGCAGGCTTACCATGATCACTATTAACAAGAGTTTGATTATTCATTTGAATTCTAGTAACCACTTATTGCTTTGTTGTATAGTGTATGGTGTAATATTGCTTGTTTCTCTTATATCTCCTCAGTCAATTTTAATTTCCAGATTACACCTCTTCATCGTCATCATCATCATCAGACTATAGCTCAGATTCAGAGTCACCCTGGGAGGATGACTCTATTGTAGTAGATGATAAGTTTGAGACCAAAGCTAAAAGAGCAGAGCTCAATCCACGTGCAAATAGGATGGATGACCCCCCGGCTCAATCCAGCAATAAAGGTAACTCCTGAATAGTCTTTAAAACATTAACTGAAATTATTTTTTTTTCTAGTTACTATTATGACTAGTATTCTTATAAAAGCACTAACGTTTAATCCCATTTCATTATTTTAGTTAGATGAAGTAATAGATAGATTAACAAGTCACTGGAAAGAAGACAAGGATCATTTGAGCAAAGAAGTAACCTTGACGTGCCAACCGTTCAAGGTGTGTCGAGTGCACAACTTACTTGCTAATCCTGAGATCATCAATAATATAGTAGACGACATGAACACTTTAGACTGGACACGAAAAAAAATGGATCTTTATGAGTTTCACCAGACAACAGATCTCGCCAACTTAACATGGCAAAGAAGTATAAGAGGCATCTATGAACTCTTAAAGACTGAATTAAAAAATTGGGTCTGTACCTGCTAATATATGTTTCACAAAAAAATTATTGAATGTCTAATGAACTAATTTTGCAGGTATCACAAGTCACGGGCTTAGAATTGCAGAGTGTGTCAGCATCGTGTTCACTGTACGGCCCCGGAGATCACTTGCTCATTCACGACGATCAGATGACTGACCGGCGGGTGGCATTTATTTTCTACCTAGCACCGTGGCACCCCCCGGACCTTCGACATCATATTCATAATGGCGACGGTGATGCTACCGATCAGAAAGTAATTTTTTATTATTTTCTTACTTTGTGTGTGTAAATACCGATAGTACTCAAACGTTTATCCCCGCAGAGCGCGCCGTGGGGCGGCTGGTCGGAGAGCATGGGCGGCGCGCTAGAGCTATTCGCGCGGGACGCCAGCGGAGCGCCCGCCGACGTGGAGCGCCGGCTCTACCCGGCTAACAACACGCTCGCATTCTTTCAAGTCGGCAGCGACTCCTTCCACCAGGTTTCAATCATTACGCTAACTGTACAAAATTTATCAATGAGGTATTTCCAATTTAATGATCTTCGGTAACGAAAAGGTGGGCGAGGTCCTGTCCATGGAGTTGCCGCGGCTGTCGATCAACGGCTGGTTTCACGGCCCCGCGTCCGAGGCGAGCGCTCCTTCTCCAGAAGACTTGGTCCTGCACAAACCGCACTCGCAAGTGGTGGTGGTGCAGCAGTGGCTGCAGAGCACGTACATGTCGACGCGAGTGCGGGCTCAGGTGCAGGCGCAGATGGAGACGGCCAGCGAGGTCAGCCTCCGAGACCTGCTGCGGCCCGACCGCCTCGCCGCTCTCATGGCGGCCCTCGAAGCGCCCGGTAGGGCCGAGTCGCCTCGCCCGCGTCCGGCTTCGCGACGGGCCCGGATGAAACTGTTCAATTTGCAGACGTAGAGTGGGAGCGGAGCCCGGGGCGCCATCGGCGCCGCTACATGCGCGTGTCCGCCGCGTGGGCGGAGGCCGCGGCGAAGGCGGAGGCGGGGAGCGAGCCGCATCCGGTGGCGGGGCTCCTGCGGCTGGCCGGCAGTTCGGCCTTCGTGCGCGTGCTGGCCGACTGCACCGACCTCGCGCTCGCCTCGTACTCCGGCCTGGAGCTGCAGCGCTGGACGCCCGGAGACTACACGGTACGGCCGCCGACGGAGCGGACGACGCGAGCCATAGAGAGACTCTCATTTTCCCTCTCTCCGCAGCTGCTGGCGGGCCGCGAACAGTACGAGAGGGCGCGGCTCGAGGCCACGCTGTACCTGGGCGCGCCGGCGGGGGCTCTGAGCGGCGGCCAGCGCGTGTACGTGGCGCCCGAAGAGGCCGCGCGGGGCGAGGCGCTGCTGACCGTGCCGCCCGTCCACAACGCCCTGGCGCTGGTCTACTGCGACGCCGGAGCCGCCGCCTTCACCAAGTACCTCGGCCGCCTCGCCGCGCCGCCCCATCGGAGGCACTACGTGCTCGCCTGCAGCTACTACGAGTGAATCGCGACCGAAGAGCGATTTTGCAACACACAATGTATGCAACGTGTTCCAGTCGGTCTCCTGAGGACATTGCACGGTGTTGAACGGTGTTGAATTGGAGGAATTGTGTAAATAGCGCGAGAGGTGGCCGTCGATGATTAAATCTATTTAAAGCGACCGACTCATTCATTGACGACTTAGCTTCGAAGCCAATAAATTCCCTTTCCCCATCCCGTCCCGGTCCCTTCTAGAACATTCGACAGGTGAAACGGGTGTTACGATTTAGCTTCGGCACCGACAGATGGCGACCCGTTCGTCTTATTTGGGAATCGCTTTTGCAACATCGGTCAAACGAATTAAAATTTTTGTTTTTTATTTTAATTTTAAATTCGGACCACAAAATTTGGACAAATACATGATATCAATTGACATACATACTAAAATATAAAAGTGGACTCGGCCAACGAAATCAAGTAGATACTATAAACAGCGTTAATACAAACAACCATAAAATTAAAAAAAGAAACTACAAAAGTACAAACAATAAAAATAATTAAACTATTTGAACCGAGAAATGAAATTATCAATGCTGTGTCCTATTTCACCATGCCTCCTGCTGATAGAGAGCAAGTCTTTGTTTTTATTTTACTTAAGATGTCATGTGGAACATGGTTGAATGGTTGCAGCTCCTTACAAACGTTTTGTAAAACAAAAAACTTGGGTATTAAAAAGAGTGGCAGAGAGTTTATTGCCAGTTCTTCTCTTACGTTCTACGCCCTTGTTTTGAGAACTGGCAGTAAATGTAAAATGAGAAGTGTTTTATATATATAGTTTTTGACGTTCATAAATGTACATTGTGTTAGCTACCTATATGAATAAATGATTTTGACTTATGGTAGTAACATAACCTATTAATTGGTGAATTTCTGCCAACGTTTGTTCGACAATGTGGGATGTGAAAACATCTTCGATTGTGTAAACGACTCGCGAGCCGAGGAACTTGTATATATTATGTATCTATTGTATATAAACGTTCAAAAATTTCCGGTCAAGCACAATGAAGTAGCCTAGGCGCGAAAAGTTTTTAAAAGAGTTAATAAAGAATTACGAAGAGAAAATGATAAAACGTGCTACTTTTCAAGAATTGATCCGCCGAGCGTTACGAAGTCGACACGTGAGCCGACGTTTGATCCCGCAATATTAGACGAACGCTTCGCTCGAATCTCTATTTAAAAAATACTTATCCTTTCGAGGCTCAGATCGATAGAAAACAATCTAATAGAAATAGAAAATCTGTAACTCGATGAGCGGAGATAACAGACCATAACTAATGTTTTAAGTGATAATAAACCTCGCCACTTTAATACGGCAAGTTTTGTTTAAAAACTTTGTCGATTAGCAGCCAGCGGCGGTAGCTCACGAGTATTGATTAGGTATTAATCGCTAAAGTTGCGAACGTACGGAGAGCAAATTCCTGTTGCCTGCACGCGTGGACCAGATGCGATAAATATTTTTTCTTCACTATTTTGAATCGATAGGAGCCTATGTCGGTGTCTCCTTTGAGGCTCCCGTGTAGAGTGTTCAGAGATACATCGCAATAGGTTCGATGCAGGCCTAATCCTGTTTCGCATGAGGAAATCTACTGATAGTAATCCTACAGCCGGCGACATCCCATTCGCTCGCCAGTGTCTGCACTTTGTCGTACATTTCCTCGAGCTTGTTAGAAATTCCGCTTCGTTTTAATGCAATTCTCAAAACGTAAGCTACTTCTTATATTCTCTTAGACACGAACATCTCATATTCAGCTATTTTTTATTAATCTCCATGATTTCACATCACGATTGGTAACCGCTGGTCGAGTTGACTAACAGCTGCCAAATGCGATCATCCAAGTAGGTTTTACTTGGATGATTCGGTGTTCCCTAAGCTTCCATACCACTTAGTAAACTACATGAGATGTATGTACATAGGTAGTGTCCAAGACGCATGCTAAGTCTCGGTAGGCGAAACACATTTATAGCATAGGTACAAAAAACGCAAAATAACTTTCATTATTAAAAACGTTAAGTCGTGATACCAGATTGCGGTAAAGTCGAAACGAGATGAGCCCCTGCACGCCGCCATTGGCTGATCACGCCACGATGTGGAAAAGCAAACGTGGGAACTCGTCGGCAGCCCGCAAGAAAATTCATTAGGAAACTGGCAAAGCGCGGCATTACTACAATCTTCGAGCTCGGCGCGGAAATAATTAAAATATACTCAATGAAATATAGTCAATCCACAGCACGCGTAATAGTATTAGTATAATAATTTTTTTTGTAGAATATGCTTTTGGGTACAGCAAATAATTCTTCTATTAACTGAACACGCAATCTACAAAACATTAATGCAGCGGACATTAGTCTCCAATTATTTTAGGTGAAACATTTTGAAATCGGTGGAGATGGGGGATGCATTTTTGATGCTGATTATGATTCGATACGATTATCTACGACAGACAGACCCTTTGACCAGACACTGCACATTATTTGTTAATCTCGGATAGGTACTAGCCTATTTTAAATAAAAAGTGCGTGCGTATAAATACATATTATGTCAGAAGTGAAACTTCTTTGTAAATTAATTATTGAATAATTAAGCTGCCCAAATCCCATAATTTAATTTTGCCAGTCTTTCTATATTAATGAATGATACTAAGGCTAATTAAAAACCAGAACTAAAATTAGTTATGTATATAGAAATACCACCATAAATATGGTAACAACTACCAAATGATATAACAAATTAATTATTATCATAATTGCTAACTTATGTCCACATTTTCTAAAATAGCCAACTGGGTCAAAAAGGTCTTGAAATTTAAAATCAACAAAAAAAAACGGTAACTTAGTTATTTAATAAAATAATAATGATATTGATATGTATTAAAAACAACCATCGGTGTTCAAGTCTCAATCGCTCTCTCCCTTTTTTTCGACAAGGACGCTGCACATCTTCGTGACGTTCCGTAAAAATCTACCCTCATGCGCCTAAATAAGTTTAACTTCAAAAATAAATAATATTATAAATAAGTTTGCTTTTACCCGGGAATCGGGATGGCAACGTTTCGATCACGTCCGGCTCTCTGTAGACGCTGATTGTGTCCCACTGGAACTGTCTGTGGAATGTGATCGCATTCATATATAATATAAACTATATAACTGTATAATATAGCTACCAAGATAAACAATAATACATAATAAAAAAACTAATTTCGTAACAAAAAATTATAATTCACGTGGGAACAGTACGTACGTAGTAGCACCCGTTCACGAGTACGAGTTATTTGCAGCTATCGGCCCCCACCATTTTGTAGATACAGGGACATCCCGACGCATAGGCTTTCAAAGATTATTCTGATTTAATGCGCGAATATAAAGTATTCACATTTGTATGAACTAATTAAAGCTTCTTTTTATATGAAAAGCACACAACAAAACCATTACTTACTATTTGATGTGCCACTTCAGCCCTGCTATTCTGTAACTCACTTTTCGAACTCACACAGCGGTTTTCGCATCGGCGGTCGCTCTCAAATCAGTCGTGAAGCACTCATTTTATGATTTGGCATTCTAATAATCAATAAACTACAAGCTCACACCTTTTCAGAATGCCAAATCATAAAATGACCGCTTCACGACTGATTTGAGAGCGACCGTCGATGCCAAATCCGCTGTGTGAGTTCGAAAAGTGAGTTACAGAATCGCAGGGCTGGACAGGTAGCAGTGGAATACTCAGTTTAAGGCGTTCTTTATGTATTCTGTGTTTATATTTTCAATTTGTTCTCGGAGACGGCTATCACGCCACACGGAAGAGTAGGCTCTTAGCCGCCGAGTATCCAGTCAAAGTCCTTTCGTGTAATAACACTTACAGGCATGGATCAGCGAAGCGATCACAGCCGTCACTAGATCTCGTAAACTTGCTGTAAAACTATTTAACGACATGTTTAGCGTTATCACTACAAGTGTCACCGTTTTATGACCCCCCTCTTACCCCCATTTCGTACACCCGACTGTAGCTCCCGCTTCCAGGAGATGTTCTTTCGTAAACTCACGTCTCGTCGTATTAAATAAAGGAATATTATGCCGCATTAAAATACGTTGAATACGTTTTTTAGTTAGTCTGAAACTCTCTGCTCTCAAGTTTGGCTGAAGTTCTTTTCAAGCGATGTGAGCGAAGATAACTTTTGAAATTTAAGAAAACTCTCAAGATTGAATCATTTATCGATTAACTGCTTTATAGCCGACAGGGTAGGATTTGAAATGTTATACTTCTTCACTAATCAATAATTTTAAAAATACATTAGAATTAAAACAAAAAATATTGTTATGTTTTTGGTACCTATTGTTGTGTATTTTTGTGAATCATTAATCAAATGAAGAATATAGCGCAACGTTACATTTTCTATTTAAGTTTTGATTTATTTTGCATAATATTTTTGTTAAAGTGTTTTACTTAATATTATTATAAACTGTTCACCGCCTCGTGCGGCTCTGTCGGACGGCAGTGAAGGCACCTTCAGTTTGTTTAACTTTGTGCGCTCTCCCACACCTCTCGACTCACGAGACGTTCTTAACAATTTATAACCTCCCCATTCCAATGCACTTCTCTGCATTGAACAGATTTATTAATTCACTTATTTTATATGTTTAAATTTAGTGTTTACTGAAATTGCTCCTTGTATTATTATGTAAATTTGTCAAATTGTCATATACTGAATTCAATAATTTACGAGTATAAATACTTAAACAATTTGTTGTTACTTGTTACAAACAAAAATTTTTCAATTATTACACTTAATAATTTATTACATACATAATAACGGATTTCTATCGAGAAGGTACTTGTTTTTGATGGAAACGACGGCTGAGGCGTCATTGATACGTATCCAAGTGTCGGGACGCTAATGGAGGCAGAATTGTCACGATATAACATTTATTTGCCCTACACCATCCTGCCTTAGCAAATATTTATAGTACAAC